CATCACGATGTAATTAAAGTTTAAATAAAATGGTTCCTATTGCTGAGCCCTGTAATAACCATGTTATTTTCCTCTGCTGTCTTTTTTTCTGTTTCTCATTTACTGCTTAGTTTATATAATTTAGTTTTTCAAGTTAAAAAAAAGTTGAATAAAAAATGAGATTCTGTTCTCATCAGTGATTACTCCAGATGAACAGACGGCCATCAGATGTAATCTGAACAGTGTGGATTATCTCTTGACAGTGTGATACTGGCTGAATTAAAATCTGGCCTCAGGTTTTACAGAAATCCTTCGTATCAGTTTGACCTTCTGGGTTCGACACGTTTCTGAGAGGAGAGCCTGATAAAAACGCAGCGTTGCTCAATCTGCTGAGGCAACATTTGATTATCAGTTAGGAAACGTTTGACCAGTGCTGGGGGAATGAGCCTTTAGCTTGTGGTTTATCTAATCCATATTCACACAAAAAGACAGATTATCAAACTTTAAATCTTAAATTTCAGTATTTATTCAGGTCAGAGTTCAGACATTTAGTCCACTCTGTGAAAATGTTGCTTCATTCATTCATTTCTGCAGCTCTCTCACGATCCCACCACTGCATTTTGATTAGTTTGAAGTCCAGACTTTGACTAGGCCATTGCAACACATTCTCCTTTGCAGCCATTTTGCTGCAGATTTGCTGCTGTGTTTGGGTTTATTGTCCTGTTGACCCAGTTTGGGCCAAATCTTTGACTTCATGGTCCAGTTAATGACCGTGGAACAAGCCCCGATCATTACTCCTCCACCTCTGTGCTCAGCAATTGTGATTATATGATTTTATTCCCTATATAGTCTATAAATGAACTTTTATTCCTAGACTTATCGGCAGCAACAACTGTTTCTTTAAAACATTACTCACCTTCAACAGTTTAGAGGAAAATGTTTATTAGGAAAGTCTGAACTCCAAGAATGTCCTTGGAGAAAGAGGCTGAATCAGAGGGGACACTTTCCCAGAAGAGCTCTGAGCAAAAACACATGAAGAGTTTCGGATTTCAAGTTTCTCTAACCTTCCTGTGGTGTAAAGAGTCGGGGTTGTTTGGATCCGGCGGGTTTTCACTCTGCGGTCTGATCGGGTCGCACTGACCCTGCGTGTGCTTTTACGAGGTTTATTTTCTTTGTGTGTGGTTCCAGGAACTGACGGTCTGACGGGACTAAAGGACTTCAGATTTACGCCTTCAGATCATTGTGTGCTTTAAGACATTTTTAACAAGCTGTTTCTTGAACTTTATGTCTTCAAACTAATTTTTTGTGACATTTTCTTTTATATTTTTCACAAATTACAAATATTTTCACTGTCAACATGTTCCATTTTACTAGTTTTAACTTTACTTTACCCTCACACTATTATAGGATATATTTTATATTTGTGTAATATAAGGCTTCTTGATTGAATTCTTTGTTTTATTTCCTTTTTTAACACATAACTAACCACCTGCAGACTTTATAAATCCACTTTTATAAATCTATAACATCTCGGTCATCTAAACAATAAAAATGTTACTTTTATGTTTGTTTTAATGTTCTACTTGCTTCCCTTTCTGTAAATTTTGTGGGGATTTTTAACACCTCATTGCATTTGTTGTTTGTTTAATAGAAACAAATGAAAACAAAGTTTATGTTTAACATCTCTGAGGCGTTTCTCCGTCTGCTGCTGTGGGAGGTGTGAGGGAAGGTGTGAATTATAGGAGATAAAAGATGCGTCTCCATGTTATTAATAATCCACTAATATCTTAAGTGTTGAGACAACATTCAGCACATCCTCCTCCTCATATAAACCATGAAAACTGATTTCAGTTCATGTTTTCAGGGTTTTTAACAGTTTTTTTTTTCAGCTGAAGCCGTTTTACCTTCAGCGCCTGGCGTCTGCTGCTGTAGTTGTGTCTGACACTCTCCTCTGGCTCGCTCCATCTCCCAGTACAGCCAGCAGAAAGGAAACCTCCCATCAACCTGTCAGGGCGAGGAGGACATAAACATAACGGACATCAACACCAACGTTAACAAATCTGCCGTCTGTTGAATTCATCCTTCAGCTCTCTGGAGGAAAGTTCATGTTGGTGAAACCTGTTCACCTCTGGCTGCTTTCTGCAGCTCAGGGACGAAAGTTAAGATGAACGGGAGCTTTAAAAATCCTCAGTGAAGCTCATTCTGGTTTTATTTAAGAAGCTGCAGAGGGAAAAACACTAAACCTTACCAAGCATTTCAGGTCTAGTTTCTAGTACAAACATCTTAGTACACTTAAGACAAAACTATCTTAGAAATAACTCTTCAGTAAAATATAGAAGCTTGTTTTAAGTCAATAATTTCTTAATATTGGTGAAAAAATGTTAGCTGTATATAAGTGAAATAATCTGCCATTGGAATAAGACATTTTTCTCAATTATTTCACTTATAGCTAGAACTTTTTCATCAATATTCAGAAATTATTGACTTAAAACAAACTCCCATGTCTTATTGAAAAGTTACTTGTTATTTTTGTTGTATTTTGAGAAGTTTGCACGAGAAAGTAGAACAAAAATTCTTGGTAATATTTTGTGTTTTTTGCAGTGTAGCCTACCTGCTTCCATGACCCCAAAATGTAGGACAATATGAAAAAAGCATTTTTTTAGTTTTATTAACAGTTCAGATGTCACATAGTTTAACAGCGGCCATCTTGTCTTCCCACTTCCCACCCGCCCTGTTTAGTCCGCTATAACCACACTTTAGTCCGTCCAAAATAGTGACCTGTGGTTCACCTACTAACCTCGGTCTCTGTTCGGTTGAAGTGAACTCTGGTGCGGTTTGACTGGATACGTGACCAAACGGACCGCAGACTGCTCCAAAAGCAGGAAGTGGACTAAATCGCAGGACATTCTGGAAAATACAACCAAAACAACCGCGCCAGCCTAGCGCTAAGGAGAAATGGATAGTTTTTCTTTGTATTTTCTTGCCAGAAATAACAACAGAAATCCTACAACCGCTCAAATCTGACGCTACTCCATTTTTGTTTACATTTTAAGAACTTAGTGTCTTCGTTGGAGGGTTTCGTGTTGCTTCCTTGTTGGTGCAGCGCCCCCCACAGGCGAGGAGGGGAACACAGTCCGGCGGGAAAGAGATCCACAGCAGCTGAAAATTTAACACATGTTGCATATTTGGTTCCAAATTAAACCAAGTCTAATATGCAACTACTTTAGATAAAAAATACCTTCAGTTGCATAAAAAACTGGATTGGACAGTCTTGAATTTTTGCGTGCTTTGAAGAATCCATTCTCCAGATGCTTTTATCACCTTTTCATCGTGTTGCCACGATGAAAAGGTGGCAACCTCACCGTTTTTCAGGCAGCAGATAAATGGCTGCCACCTCCGTGTTTAACCTGTGTGTGTCCTGGTACGGCTGGTGGTAACCAAGGATACACTCTCAAACACGGGGTACACAAACGGCACAGTATGGATGACGGGAAAAACTCTCCAACAGAGCGAGTTCACACACCAAACTTGACTCCATTGATGGAGTGAGTGTGTGTAAGTGTGCTGGGAGGTCTGTTTACACCGAGATATACTGCCAAGATGTCAGCGCTGTCGGCCCGCTCAGAACGCACATTTTTCTTCTGCTTTTCTCACTTCCTGCTGGGACTGTTTTCGCTCTGAGCGAACCTGCCAACTTCACGTGTTAAAAAATAGTTTTTCTATCTGCGTTTTCCATGTTTTCCGCTCATACTCCTGCCGCACTGCAAAAACACAAAATCTTAGCACACATTCTAGTGTAAATATGTTAGTCCACTTGAAATGAGGCAGAACTAACATACAAATATTTGGTGGAAACCCAGAAAATTTTCAAAAGTCAATTTTTTTTTACATTTGAAACTCAGAAATCTCCTAGTTTTTATTGTTTTCAATAAAAGTTGTAAAATTAATCTAAACAGTTTTGATTTTTTTTTCTAGCAATATTTTTTTACTTTCAGGCTCAGAAAATTAAATTTGTTTTCTTAAAAATGTATGAGTTTAATGTCAAAATTTCAGATTTTTTTCTAGCTAATCTTTTGCTTTTCAAGCTGAAAAAATACTTTTTTTTTTCTAGAACATTTCTGAGATTAATCTCAAAATTTCTGAGTTTTTTGGCAGAAATCTACTCTTCCTTCCTTTGTTTCATATCTGCAGTGGCCCTGATACGCCGTCGTAGTTTTGAGGTAATTTTCCTCAAACTTAAGCATCAACATTTTCCACATTGATCTTTGTGTCCTTCTTTACATGACGAGGAATATTTAAATTATTCTGCAGGTAAATATGCTGCACATGTGGATTTTAAGGGCTTTAAAGCTGCAATGTTAGAGAATAACAACAAAAATGTTATTTTAATGAACATTGACAAATAATACAAGCTCTCTTCCTACATTTTTATCTGTAAACTGCAAAGCAACTTTATCTCTCTTGAGGAGTTTAATGTTTTTGGATCAATAATAAACAGAAAAAGTGAAGACATTTCCAGTCTGCAGACTCTTCTTCTGCAGAGAGACGAATCAGAAGGAAGCATAGGAGCGATCTGACTGTAACTCTCATCAGACATCGATTCTTTGCTGTTTCTAAGACGTTTAAACTTCTCAGATTTCAGATTTCATCGCTGCACAGAGACGACGCATCAGCAGCAATAAAATTATTAGATTTGATTTGCAAAGTGATGCTGTGAGGTTTTTAAAAGCTTGATAAGCTAATGCTCTATAAGCATGAGCAAAATACCTCCTCACACTGCAAAAGCACAACATATTACCATGAATTTGTATTTAGTTTCTACTGCAAATATATTTTTACACTTGAAACAGGACAAAACTAACAAGTCAGTTTTCAGCAAGAAGTAGGAGTTTGTTTTAAGTCAATAATTCTTAATTTTAATGAATAAGATCTAGTTCTGCTGGCAGATTATTTCACTAAAAACAAAACACTTTCCCAGGTCATAAGTGGAATAATCTGCTGGTGGAAGTAGTGCTAAGGAAACAAGACAAAAGTATTTGGTTAGAATTTGTATTTTTGAGGTGTAAATCTTGACCCGTCACATAATCGGTGTCTTGAGTGGATTTCTGGACGGCTGACATTCACCTTGGATGCATCTACTGAAGCAAAAAGCCACTTAAAAAGTCAACTGTTCTATCCAAACCCTGGAAGGAACAAATCAGGCTTTTAGTTTCCAGACTTGAGCCAAAAGGAAATCTTAAAATGTTCCTCCAGCAGCCAGAAAGTGAATCTGCTCGTATTTTTTAGAAAAATGCAGCAGAGCCAAAAGTGTCCAAAAAAAGTGCTGGTTTATCAGTAAAGTTTTGCCTTCACTGGCAGCTTTTCAAAAAGAGGAAGAAGATTCACAATTTACACTGAAACCGTGGAGAAATCCCAAATAAACCATGTGTCTCAGACAGAAAACACAATATCACCAAGTAACTTGGTTCTAGTTTTAAGTGCAAATATAATACACTAGAAATAAGACAAAACTAACTTAAAGTAACTTCTCAGGAAGATATGAGCTCGTTTTGAGTCAATAATATTGATGGAAATACTTGTACCATTAGCAGATTATTTAATTGATTTTTTCCGACGTTATATCAGTGGAAGTAAAACTTTTCATCAATATTAAGGATTTATTGACCTAAAACAAGATCGTGTGTCTTGCTGAAAAGTTTCTTATTTCAAGTGTACTTAGAAAATACCTGGTAAGATTTAGTGGTTTTCTGATGTATTAATGAAATAAAATGAAAAAAGTTGTAGAAACTGATGGAATGAAAAAGTTTCAGTTGTATCTACAAACAGACGTCATGCAGCATCAGACGTGCAGGCTGAGTTTGGACTGACCGTGTGGATGAGGGAGACGCCGAGCAGCAGCAGAGCGAGGCGCTGCGCAAAGATCATGGTCGCATCTCATCCACCTGCAGTTCACCTGGCTGCTGTCATCCTGAGCGGGAAACACGTCCGAACCGAACCGAACCACAGGCTGACAGGTGAGGAAAAGCCGCTCCTGAATCCCGGTCCTCACCTTTACGCGCGGTTCGGTCCAGGTCGCTCTTCTGTTCACCGGCGCCTCAGACCTGCAGACCGAACCGAGCCGAACGGAACCGAGCCGAGACGGGAGAGTTTATTAAATCGCAGAGAAGTTCAGCTGAATGTGCATAAAGTCTCGAAGAGGCGGAACTCTGTGGTTCTGCTGGTTCCGGTTCACCTTCTGCATTTAAAGCGCGTCACCGACAAATGGCCCTCGCTGGGCCCCGGGACCAGAGGACCCAGACGTCAGAGCAGTGAAGTCCGACAGCGCCCTCATGTGGCGCCTTCTGCTAACAGCAGGTCTGTTTTAAATCTAATAAATAAATAAAGAAAATAAAAGCAAACAATTATATTTAGAATATCAGTTAATTAAGAAACAATATGGTCAAAAAGGAAGAAAAATAAATGAATACGTTAAAAAGTACAACAAATAATCATCAAAACAGGATTTATGGTAGTTAAAAAACGTTTGTTAATCTGCCAGTGGAATCAGAACTTTTTAAAAATGTATATTAAGGAATTAGTGACTTAAATCAATCCCCTTTATCTTGCTGAAAAGTTACTTTTAAGTGAGTTTTGTCTCATTTCAGGTGCACTGAGATGTTTGCAGTAGAAACTGAGACTGAGTGTTTTTGCAGTGCTTCACCTCTCACCCATACAGGAACATAATATTTGCTATTTTAGAAAATTTCCACTTCTCAATAGAAATCTCACCTTTAACGGAGGACATAATGCATCTGCATTAATCCGCTTCCATTTGAACCATTCTGATTGTAGATGCAGATTGATTTTAATGAGAACAGAATGTTCTAAAATGGCCTAGTTAAAGCCCAAACCTAATTCCACCTGAAAATCTATGCCAAGACTTAATGGTAATTGTCCCATACTCTCTCCATCCACCATCCAATCAGATTGAGTTTCAGCTGCTTTGGAAAAAAAGAATTGGTACAAATTTGAGTTTCTAGATGTTAAAAAGCTGCCAGAACTGATTTTGTCAGAACAAAATCTTTCTACAAAGTTCTGCAAACAAATGTTTTCATGTGTACAACCTTTGAACTCTGCTGTTGCAAAACCCAGCAGAGACAGAAATAAACTTTATCATTCATGTTTTTATCCCTCCAGATACAAAAATAACTTCAGGAGACTTTTGATTACACAGAGAGGAAAGCAAATCTAAAACATGTTTTATGCTTCACGCCTCCATCTGGGTCAGTTTTATGGTGTTTATCTGGCCCAGTCTCTGTTTTATGATCACATTTTAACAAGTTTGTATCTATAAACTTTTCTCTTTCATGTGCGAAGTTGAAAAATTTTTCAGCAGGAAGGAAAGAGTGGTATTTAAGCTAATAAAAAAAATATTTTCGCAGTAGCAAACAACTGTCCTCAAGCAAAAAGAAAACAGTAAAACTCAACAAGGAAAGTTACAAAAGAAAAAAAAACTTGAAATAATTACATTTTTAGAGATTTTACCTAATTTTTTCAAATACTGTCAAGTAGAAACATTTATTTTACTATCAATTATGCTATGTAGCAAAAATGCTGCTTAGCATACTTAAAATATTTCTTCAAATTAGTTTAATTAGGATGTGAATTGAACAACTGAATTGCTAACTTTGCTACTCAGCTAATTGGAAGATTAACTTCTGTTCTTGACATGTCAGTAGAACAATTTAGCTATGCAGCACAATAAAACCCCTAAATCTGCCACATTCATAAAATACCCAAACT